TAAAAGCTTAACAGATTAATTAAACAGCTAGATGGATGTTATTTAAAGAAAGAAATTAGTAAACTGGACAATACAGCTGAAGAAATTATTTAAAATGAACCCAGAAAGATAAAGAAAAATATATTAAAAAGAAGATAGAGAGACATGTAGATTGATGGAGAGGGTCTAATACCTTAGAATTCCAAATGGAGACAGTAAAAAGAGATTAGATAAAAGCAATGTTTAAATAGATAATCCCTGAAAATATGTCCAAACTGGTGAAAGACCAATCCTCAGATTCATGAAGTCAGTCTATCCAAAGCAAGATAAATACAAACATATTCACACTAGACATATCATGGTGAAACTACAGAATGCCAAAGACAATGAGAAGATCTTATAGCAGTTAGAAAAAATAGATACCTAAAAATTGATGGTAGAGTAACAGTTGAGTTTTCAAAGGCAATAATGGAACCTGGAATACCATAAAATAATATTTTAAATATGCTAAGAGAAAGTAATTATTTACTTATATATGTTAATACTCATTAAACTATCTCTTAAAAACTAACATAAAAAATAAAGTCATTTTCTTTTTTTAAATTTTTTTATTGTTGTTCAATTACGGTTGTCCCCATTTTTCCCTCATTGCTCTCCCCCGCCCTGTCACCCCCCTCTCCCACTGAAAGAGTTTGCTACTAATAGGCAAATCAAATGATAAAGGATGTACTTTGGATATAAAGAAAATGATCGCAGAAGGCAAGCAGATAAAAGAATAATAAGATCATACAAGTAGTACATATATGTTTAACCCTAAAGTAATATTGATGGTACATAGCACAATAGCAATGTCTTGTGGGGTTATAAAATTTTAAAACTGCAATGCACGATGAAAATTACAAATAAGTTGGGCGGGGGTGAATGTAATTAAGGTGTTCTAAAATGCTTATGTTGTTAATAAAGATAGGATACTAGTTGACTATAAATTTTAATAAAATAAGCATATTAAAATTTCTAGAGAAGCCATAAAAATTATAGATATAGAAAGTCTAACTTTCAAAATAGTAGAGGGGGAAAATGAGATAGGAAAATGATAAGAAAGAAATAGAACAGATGGTACACAAGAAAACATAAGATGGTAGAAATAAGTCTAAATATATCAGTAAGCACACTAAATTTGCATGGACTAAATTAAAAGACATTTTTAGACTAAATTTTAAAAATTATCTATACGCTATTTATAAGAAACATGTCTGAAATATTATACAGAAAGGTTTAAATCTAAATGGATGGAAGAAGACAGAACAGGCAAATGTCAATCAAAAGAAAGTTGTTGTAGTTATTAAAATTAGAAAAATACTATTACAGCATGCTTTAATATAAAAGAGATTTCTACAAGATGTTAATATGTGCAATTCATCAGGAATATATAATAATTATAAGCTTTTATACACCTAGTTCTACAACCTTAATTTCTATAAACTAAAAATTAACAGAATTATAAGACAATGACAGCTCCATTAACATAGTGGAGCATTTTAATAAATTTTTCCAAGAATTGAAAGACCAACACAATTAATAGTTTGACTCTAATGGGCATATAAAGAACACTGCATCTAATGACAAAATTCAACAAATTTCGAGGGATTAACATCATTTAGATTATGTTCTTTGATGAAAATAGAATTAAACTAGAAATCCATAACCAAAAATTATAGGCAAAGCAGTATTTTTGGAAATTGTGAAATACTTCTTGGTAACTCATGTATCAAAGAAGAACTTATATTGGAAATTTGAAAATACTTTGAGCTGAATGAAAACACATGTAGTATGTATCATATTATATGAAATGCAATTAAAATAGTACTTAAGGGAAATTGTATAGCATCCCATTCTTTTATAGGAAATAAAAGCTGAAAGTTAATGAGCTAAATATATAGGTAGAAAAAGATCAGAATAAAACTAGGTGAAAGTAATAAAAAATTACAGAAATTAATGAAATAGAAATATGTATTAATAAGAACTAATAAAGCCAAAGCTTTCTTCCTTAAAAGACTAATCAAATTGACAAACTTTCAGCAGGAGGGAGAGAGGGAGGCCAATAAACAACAGTATGAAGAAATTTATAGAAAAATATAGCTTATGAAAGTGACACAGGAAGAAATCAAAAACCAAATTGCCCTATAACCATTAAAGAAATTAAATAAGTATTTAAAAATACTGATAAATGAAAAACTTTCTCACAAATAAAAAACTAAGACCATTTATTTTTACCATGAAGTATTGCTTAACTTTCAAGGAACAAAATATTTTAAATTTATGCAAATTATTTGAACATAGGCTACAGAACAGATACCAAGTGACCAAAAAAACAGCAGCCTGGATCTCTGTCTTCTAGGACCAAACATCCAGGCAGATCCCCAAGTTTACAGCACAATTATTGATCTTAATAATAGCATTGGGTCATAAAGAAAAGTTTAAATTGTATTCCGTATACTCTATTCAATAAGACAAAAGATGCATATATATCTCTAAAGATTTCTTTGGGAAATGGAAAATTTGTTAAACTTGAGATATTGAAAGAGGCAAGCAACTTCATAGTTTTGTGGAATTGACACAGGAAAACTGATCTAGACTCCTAGCCTGTTTATTATTCCTTGGAATTAAATTATTTAATATGAATGACAGCTGTCTCCACTTCTCTGGAATGGAAACCATAGAAGTAGGAGGGGGAGGGACAGCATGCCATCACAACTTGGCCCGTGGCCTACCCATGGTGCCCGGAGCAGGCCGTGGGATGAAAAGACCCCTCCTCCCTATCTTGCCTGAGCTGTGGATGGCTCTTGACTGGATTGGGCTCTTCAGAATGTATCACAGAGAAGGGAGTCTACCAGACAGCACTCTCTGTTGGACATCCACTTAGGCATATCTGCAAGTCATAGACTCTTTGGATATCTGTGCTTTACCCACTTGGGATTTCTTGTTGGATTTTAGAGTCTCTGTCTTTTAACATTTATTATCATCTGTCTCTTTAGAATATGGTCTGCTATTAAAATGCCCTTAAACAGCGTTTACACCCTCCATGCTGACTGACCTTTTACTATCTACTGCTAAGACTGAATAATTATCTTCATTCTGGCTCACCCAGATTATCCTAGTGCCAAGTTCGCACCTTTTAACTGCTTTAGCCTCCCCATAAACCTGACCGGGTGCAGGATTGCTGCCTGTGTAGGAGTCTGCCTTTCCCCCCTATGCAGCTGAGCAACATCTAGGATAGGAGGGAGTCCAGCTGACTTGCTCCAAGTTTTAACCTTGGGGTCACCAAGGAATCATTAAAGGTTCTCCTTACCTGGGTATCCTTATTGAATAGCTTAATGAAGCAGAAATTTGCATTTGCGATTTCTTAGTACCTCAGACAATGACTTTATTTTAAATCCACGACATTTTTCTATTGTCCTAGCCTACCAGTTGTCGTCTCCTCTCGTAAATCTTTCGCAGCCATGGAGAATCTAGGATCTCTGCATGCCCTGGGAAAATGCCAGTGGCTATTCCGCAGGGCATGGGGGATGAAGGAAGCAAAGAAGGTGTGGACACAGTGGGAGGAGTAGACTCCGCAAGCTTCACGCACACCAGGTATCAAAAAGGTCTTAGTCTCTGGACTAGATTCACCTGTGGCTTCTAAGCAAAAGTGGCAATGCCTTTCATATATATTTTCAAAAATTTTCCCTGCAATTACCCTATTAAATGCATACAACAATCAAGTGCTGTAGGCAAGCCAGATATTATTACCCTAATCATGCTTTAAGATGAAAAATATTTATGTGGGCCAAAAAAGTTAATTAATTCTCATACTTTATTATCTCGATATGATAATCATTATTTCAACAATAAAGATAACAAGAAATCAATTTAACTACTCTGTAAACTATAAAATGCTCTATCTCTACCATACAAAACATATATATGATCATATCTATTATACATGTAGGTATGTATGTTGTATAAATATACTATCATACAGTGTATGTAGTGCTGTATTCTTTTAAAACATGCTCTAATTTATATTATTATAGTTCTACTGAACTTTTTATTCAGATAACATTCAGAAATCTGTATTGTAAGCAAAGAAAACTGACTCAGGCTAACTGAAAGAGAAAAGGGATGTATTGGAAAGTCATTGGATATCTCAGGTAATTAACAAGAAATCTAGAGAAGCAGATTCAGAAACAGAGAGACTATATAGCAGAAACCACAGCCCAAGTGGTAAGAATGGTCTATTTAGATTAATATCCTGACCCCATTGCCATGACTAGATGTCTTATCATTGGATACTGGGCACCACTGCTCCGGTATGGGTGACACTCACCAAGATTCAAAGTTCTGAGTGCAAGCATAGTGCTGGCTAAACTTAGGTGCTAACACCCGTGCCTTAGCTTCCGGGGGACAGGGACATGCCTCCTTTCAGTTTCCAGAGGCCCAAGAAATACACATTACACAGCCCCTAATATAGGAAGGGGATTTAAACTTGGGTATAAGTTTCCTCTACAAGTTATCAAGCAATATACTGTCTAGGCCAGTGGTCCCCAACCTTTTTGGCACCAGAGGCCAGTTTCATAGAAGACAATTTTTCCACAGAGTGGGGTGGGGTTGGGGTGGGGATGGAGGTGAGGGGATGGTTTCAGGATGATTCAAGTGCATTACATTTGAGCTCACCTCTTGCTGTGTAGCCTGGTTCCTAACAGGCCCGGAATAGGTACCAGTCCAAGGCCTGGAGATTGGGGGCCCCTAGTCTAGGTTATTGTGCTCTATATTCTGGATATTTTGTCATAAATAGGATTTTTTTTAAAAATTGCTTTATTATAGAAAATTTCAAACATATGCAAAAATAAAGCAAATACTATTATATAATAAATCCCCTTGCATCTCTCATACCATTTTAACATTGTCATCTCATGGCCTGTGTGGTTGTAATCTCTGTCCCTATCCAGTCCTCCGCCAACTCCAGTTGTTTTGAAGCAAATCCTAGACATTATATTTTGGAAAAGTATTTCAATATTCATCTAAAACAGATGAGGGCCTTCTGCTCTGTGATGAACAGTCCCTTTCCACAATTTTGGACAGAAAGCTGGGTCTTGAGTCTGCACCTGCGTATCCCTGGAGCTTCTCAGAGTCCTGTGGACAATGCCTGAGGAGACAAACCATGCAGGAAACATCTAGAGGAATAAAAACAAAATAAAAGTAAAATAAAATAGATGAAGACTTTTTAAAAAACATGACCACAATACTATTTTCAGTCCTAAAAATGTTAAAAAGATTTCCCTAATACCATCAAATATTGTGTTTGTTTCCTAATTCTCTCCTAATTTTTTTTGTTTTACAATTTGTTTGCTTGAGTCAGGATCTAGCTGGTTAATATATCTTTTCAAGCATTTATTAATCTACTGTATTTCTCTTCTACGTGTTTTTTTCCCCCTTGTAATTATTTTTAAAGAGATAAGGCCATTTGTCCTGTAGAGACTCGCACAGCCTAGATTTTCCTGATTGCATTACCCTAGTATCATTTAACATGTCCTTCTGTCCTGTATATTTCTTCTAAATTGGTAAGTTAGATATAGAGATGTAGGTTCAATTTTGTAGCAAAAATATTCCATAGGCAGTATTTGTGTACTTCCACCATGTAGTACATAATATGTAGCTGCCTACCCATTTGTGATACTAGCAGTCATTGCTGATTATTGACTAGATCCAATAATTCATCAGGGATTGCAAAACGATGACATGTTAATTTTGTTTCTCCTTCTTTATTAGCTGGAATAACTTTTATAAAGAGACATTCACAATCATCCATTGTTTTGGTGCTTGGAAGTACAACTAAGTTAATTTGGAAGCATCAGAATAAATAATTCCATAACAGCTTTCAAAACACTGAATTGATTCTCTGCCACCTTCCAAAGGGGAACATTTACTTTTATCCGTATTGTTTTGCAAATTATAACCTTTGGCGATTGAGAGTCTGCTAACAAAGTTCCTTAGTCCCTTTGCCTCTTTTTTTTTTAATTAAATCATTTTTAATTGTTATTATATTATAGTTGTCCCAGTTTTCCCCCTTTGCCCACCTCCACCCATCCCAAGCCTCTCCCCTGCTCCCACTGTTAATTCCAAAACTATTGTCCATGTCCGTGGGTTCTTTGACATGCTCCAGGCTCATCTCTGCATTTCCTGCTCCAGAGATGTAATCACCCATTTCCCTAAGGAGCCCAGCCTTCTTTTATCTATTTATTTTTTATTTATTTTTATTGTTTTTCAGTTACAGTTGGCTCCATTTTCCCCTCCATTGCTCTCCACTGCCCCATCCAAACCCACTCCCAAAGACAGTCCCCACTCCATTGTCCTTCTCCAAGGGTCCCTTCTACATGTTCCTTGAACCTAACCTTCTTTTAGTGGGCAGTGGTTTTTAAAACCTCAATCTTGGCACTAGGGGTGCTTATTGCTCCTGGGTTTGTCCATGTTCCTAGGTCTTTTCCGTAGTCAGAGCTAGAAACTACTATCTTTGTAGAAATAAAATACCCCAGGTGTTCAGGATGATCTATCTCTCTATTTCAAATTTAGGACTACTAGGTTTTTACTTAACCTTATCAATCTTGCATCTATATTTCCTTTCTCCCATGCCAAAAATTCTGGTTTTTAATGACACCAACATAATTACTTGTTGATTTTATTCTTCAGTATGCACACAACTGTCTCAGAATACTAATAACAACACTAACCACCAACAATATGATTACTAGAAGCAGTTTAATATTTTTTGCATTTCTTTCTGTCTCTAGGTTTTATTCCAGTAGAGATGTACTGTCAAATTACTATGATTTAAAGTCATCTAGAATAGCTCCTCTCTATGTGATATACTGCTAACCTAATAAAAAGTCCATTTGAGTCATTTGACTTTTGATTTTTAGGAATAGATTTTTTTCATAATTAATATTTTATAATTATTAAATATGTAATTCTGAAGTGAATCTGTAAAAGAAAGTATATTCAGAAAAATCTACCTTCTACCACTACCCTCTTCATCCTGTTTCCTTACTACCTCTAAAAAATATTTTGTTTTTTCTTTGTTTTACTTTATACTTTAAAAACTACACTTGTGCCATGGCTGGTGTGGTTCAATGGGTTGAGTGTCGGCCTGTGAACCAAAGGGTCACTGGTTTGATTCCCAGTCAAGGCACCTTGCCTGGGTTGCAGGTCAGAGCCCCAGTTGGGGGCATGTGAGAGGCAACCATACATCAATGTTTCTCTCCCTCTTTTTCTCCTTCCCTTTCTCTACAAATAAAGAAATAAAATCTTAAAAAAAAACCCTACAGTTGTGCGCAGCATAATGATGTTTCAATCAAAGATGGATGACATATATGATGGTGGGCATGTAAGATTATGATGCATCTGAAAAATTCCTATCGCCTAGTGACATAGCAGCCACAGTGTCATAGCACAATGCATTACATGTTCATGGGGGTGTGGTGTAAACAAACCTATGCCACTGCCAGTCATATAAAAGCATAGCACATAGAATGATGTATAATACATAATACTAGATAATGATAATAAAAAAATAACTTTGTTATTGGTTTATGTATTTGCTATCCTACACTTTTTATCTTAGAGTATACTATTTCTACTTTTAAAAGTTTGCTGTAAAACAGCATGCCATGTAACTCTGGCAGCAGCCTCATATCATGTGTTGTGTTTACTGTGTCTCTTGCTTGATTTAATCTTGTGTTTCATACAGTAATGTGCTATTCAGGCTTATAGCCTAGGAACAATAAATAGGCTATACCATGCAGCCTAGGTGTGTAGTAGGCTATACCATCAGGTTTGTGTAAGTGCAGTCTATGATGTCTGCACACAATGATGAAATTGCCTAATGACATATTTTTCAGAATATATCCTGTTGTTAAGTGGCACATGACTGTATAAGGAACTATGCATATATATTCACATATCTTTTGTAGATAAGTGGTATTATACTATGCACACTTTTTACTACCTTGTTCATGTATATATATGTATATATGTATATATGTGTATATATGCATGTGTGTGTGTGTGTGTGTGTGTGTGTGTTTCCTGAATATCACTTTCTAATAGTATATAGCAGCAATTTTCAACTTTTTCATCTCATGGCACACAAAAACTAATTAATAAAATTCTGCAGCACACCAAAAAAATGTAGCCAAGCTGACAAAAAATAGGTAGAATTTTGATTCATTCACACCAGATGGCTGTTGTTGTGTTGGCTATTGTCATTTTTTTATTTGACAATCTAAAGGAAAATAGTCAGGTATTGCATGTTTTAAAAATTCTTGTGGCAGGCCAGTTGAAGATTGCTGGTATGTAGAGATGTTTCTCATTGCTTTCTTTTTTTTAAGAGAATTTTTAAAATTTTATTTATTTTTAGAGAGAGAGGAAGGGAGGGAGAAAGAGAGGGAGAAAAACATCCATGTGTAAGAGAAACGTCAGTAAGTTGCCTCTCACACTCCCCCAACTGGGGCCCCAGCCCACAACCCAGGCATATGTCCTGACCTGGAATGGAACTGGTGACCTTTGGTTTGCAGGATGTCTGTCCTACCAAGTCAGCACTAGTCAGGGCTCATTACTTTTTTATAGCTTCATAGTACTCCAGTGTGTGACCATTCCATAGTTTATTCTGCCAGTTTCCTTTTGAGGGCATAATGCTATAATTAATACTTTAATATAATTAAAGTCTTGTATACGTGTTTTTCATATTTTACTAGGTTATCATTTTAATAGATTCCTAAAAATGGAATTATGAGGTCAGAAGGCAAATGCATTGTAATTTTGCTAGGCATCATCAAATCTCTCTCCAGAGGGGTAGTACTTTTCCCACCAGGAGTGATGAAGGTAGCTGCTTCCTCACAGCCAATCGACAAGGTATGTTGTTGAATATTTGGGTTTTTGCCAATCTGACAAGTGAAAAGTGAATTTCAGAGTAGTTTTAATTTGCATTTTTCTTATGAAGAGCTTGGCTGAACAGGTTTCATATGATTAAGTCCATTTGCATTTCTTTTTCTGTGAGCTTTTCATAACTTTGGTCCATTTTTCTATAGGATTGTTAGTCTTTTCTCTATTTTTAGAATCTCTTTAACATTAGGGATGGTAATTTTTCGCCTATTGTATACATTGCAAATATTTTCTTGCAGTTTGTTCCTTATCTTTTGATTTTGCTTCTGGTGTTTTGTTTTGTTTTGTTTTGCCATACAAAGGCTTTTCTTTTTTTTTAAGCAAGCAAATGCATCAGTCGTTTTCCTTCTTGCTTCCAGAATTTAGTCATAGAAAAACTTACCCACTATCAGGTTATAGAGATACTCACCTATGTTTTCTTCTAATACTTGTATAATTAGAATTTTTACACTTTAATCTCTGATTCATTCAGAATTAATCCTGATGTGTGGTATAGGAATGGACCCAATGTCTTATTTTTCTGTATAGCCATCCAGCTATCCTAACACCTTCTACTTAAAATAACATCTTTTCCTCACTGGTTTATAATACTGCCTTAATATACACTGAATCACCAAACAAATTTAGATCTGTTTCTGGATTTCCTATTCTGGTTCCATTGATATGTTGGTGTATTCATGTATAACATCACGCAATTTCAATTATGTAGACTTTATGTTATGTTTGTAAGCCCAAACTTATAAATGTTTGTAAGTTATATTAGATTTGTAAATTGGATTCTGGCTTGCTCATCATGTATCATGGAGATATTGAATTCAAAAGAGGAGAAGGTCTGTGAGAGACACAACTACCATCTTTCTTCTTTCCTGGTTAGATTTTAAAAGCTTGATTTCAGGATTTATGGATACTTCATTTTCATACTGATATTTGGAACATAGTATGTGCTCTATTAGCAGGTTTTGAATTTGAAGGCCAGTCAAATAGAAGAGAATATATTCTATATATCTTCTAAGGTCACAGCTTGAACAGTGGAGTGGAAGCTGTTATGGATGTAGTTATCAATTCAATTTAAGAAAAAGATATTAGAACCATTTAAAAGAGAAAGGAATGCCTATTGGGATAACTGGATATGTTTAAGGCATGGCCGCCTCTCTGTATAACTAGAAAGATGGATGAGATTTATGGTGATTAATAAAAGTTAATAGTAATATAGCAGTAATTATATGTGAGCTACTGTCC